AGCATGTCCCTAGTAATCAGTACTTATGGTGGTCCTCAGTTCCATCCCCAGGTAGGAGGGACCCTTGGGGGGCATGACTCTTGGATTCCTTTTTCAAGGTGGTTTCAGCTGAGGAGTGAGCATGACTTAGACAAAGAGGGGTGGGGTGAGAGTCTGAGGCAGATGTGGACAAGACCTTGACAAAGGGACCCCAGAAGAGGAAAGGGGACTCTTTCCCCTGGTCCAAGAAACCCAGCTGGGCCCCAGCACCTTACTTCTACTACTGTCTGATAGCCTCTCTTGCAAGGCCAGACCTTTCTCCCCAAAGTTGGGGCCTGCACTGGCTCCCCTGGCTCTCCTCCTCTGTCCCTTGAGGGACCCCCTCCGGCCTGGCTGCCAATCACAGGCTCCTTCAGGGGCCAGCCTATGGCCACAGCTGGAGCAAAGGGGGCGTGCAAGGGAGCCAAAGAGGTCAGGGTGTCTTATGAAGGCCTTCACCCATACAGAACTCTTCAATCCAGGTTGAGCAGAGCAAAGCCACTTGGGGACCCTCCTGGCAACACAGATATATATGTACATATGTGTACACACAACACACATGTACATGTGCACTTCCATGCATATGACACCCATAGTAGAGACATACACAAGCACACATGTTCACATAGCACAGATGTGTTGCTACACATGTACAAATACACATGTGCACACATGCAACGCATCCCTACATGTGTGGACAGACAACACAGACCTACAGATGCCTGCATATGCGTCACACACTCCTTGGCTTCCCTTAACAACACACAAATTTCCTTACTGAGATGCAGACTTGTCCCTAGTTGTGTTGAATGACCAGGAGAAAGGGGCTGGGATTTTTTTTTTTTTTTTTTTTTTTTTGCAGTTTCTGGCCAGGGCTGGGTTTGAACCCTCCACCTCCAGCATGTGGGGCTGGTGCCCTACTCCTTTGAGCCACAGGCGTCACCCCTTTGGCTGGGACTTTTCTTGTGCCTGTCTGAGCAGGGAAGGGCAGATGGGGCCACCAAGAGTCCCAACCTTTAGCCGGGTGTTGTGGGCGCCTGTAGTCCCAGTTATTTGGGAGGCTGAGGCAAGAGAATCACCTAAGCCCAGAAGTTGGAGGTTGCTGTGAGCTGTGTGATGCCACGGCACTCTACTGAGGGCAATAAAGTGAGAC